ACTGACTCCTCATCGTGTCACCTGTGACGTCGCCTCAGCCTCCGGTTGTTAGTCTGTACCCGGCCTGTATGCAGCCTGTCCGGGGCCCGGCCTAATTCCTGGTGCTCCTTCTTTCCCACCACCTCCTCCCTCCTTTCCCTACCCTTCTCCCCCCTTTGCCCCTTCCCTCTATCCTCACCCCCCCACCCCCCGCACGCCCGCCGGCCTGCTGTCCCGCAGAGCGACTCCCAGCCTTTAGCCCGGACCGGCGGCCTGGCTGGCTGCCCCCCTTACAGGTGGATGAATGAAGACCCCATTCAAGAGCCCGACGGCCCCGCGGCCCCCCCGAGCAGACGGGGGTGAGTACAAAGATCCATCAAACACTGAAAACACTAATGTCAGTTTGAAAATAACACACCGATTTCTTTCAACAGTACAAAAAGAGGAAGAAGATAATCAAGGATGTCATGGAAACGATGGTCCGTTTTTCAAATTAAAACATCGTTGTGCTCATGACCTCAGAGTGTCCTTGAACGCATCACCTGTCAGTATGATGGATGCTAAATGTTTGTGCTTCTGTTTCAGGACATTCAGGCGTTTCCGCAAACATGATGAAAAAGAAGAACTCACATAAGTAAGTCTGATGAATGTAATAAAATATATATTTTTTACAATGTATTTGGAGGCCAGATATGATATAAGCTTAGGCCTGCAGTATATTGCCAAAAAATACATTTAATAACTCCATAAAACTCCAGTGATGAAATAGATCCATTTCATAACCAGTCAAGCACTTCACTGAAATCACTGATTCTCCAGTTTAGTGCTAGGGTGTCTATGTGCTGGCGTGATTTGAATTACATTATTATCACAACAATACATTTCAGGAGCAGTAATTTAGAATTAGGCATATCGTTATAATTATTAGGATTGTTAATAATATCACAACACAGCAGTGCATACTGTGTTTATTTTATGTTGTTTGTTTATTTTAAGTACATTCTGAATATGTGACATTAACCAGTCCTACTATCTCTAAATATTTCTCCCCCTCCCCCCGTAGGAAACAGAGGACCAGTGTGGGTCCCAGTAAGACTATGTCTCCGCCCAGAAGGAACATAGTGGGCTGCAGGATCCAGCACATCTGGAAGGAGGGCAGTAAGTCGATTAGAATCGGGTTTTTTGCATCTGGCTGGGGGCTGGACATCCGCCCTTGAAACACTAAATGTTGCATTTGTATCTTGGCTTTTTATGATAATTGCTGGGGCTTATAGTTATTAACTGATCAAGATCAAACACATATTTTTCAAATATAAAAGTTCTCCATCGGGCTGTCAGTTGTTGTTAGGACACACGGAACAAATACAACTCGACAAAGAAACAAGCCCCAATCCAAAAGCTGTTTTATGTGAAAGAAAAAAAGAATTAAAAAAACCCTATATAACTATGAAAACATAAAACATGTATTAGTAATTACATTACAGCAGATTGCAAAACAGTTGTATATAAATAAAATATATAAAAAAATAAATTCTATGTTATGGTAATATGCAAATGATATTGTAAAAATAGAGGGGATAAAGGGAGTATTTGGTCTGTACAATTGTAATGTCTTTAGTCTGACAAACCTACAAACCTTGAAGAAATTCTGTTTACTGAGATTTAAAACACAATAATCTGAGACATTAGGAAATCAAACTAGAAACAATTTGTGATCCATCGGGGTCTCAGTCTTGTTGGGATGCATCTCTGAAAAGCTAATAAATGTGTGTGTGTGTTTGTTCCCTCAGGTAAGTCGTCCCAGTGGAAAGGGACGGTCCTGGACCAGGTCCCTGTGAACCCGTCTCTCTACCTGATCAAATACGACGGCTTCGACTGCATCTATGGCCTGGAGCTGTACAGTGATGAGAGGGTGGTGGGGCTGGAGGTGCTGCCCGACAGAGTGGGTGAGGAACACCGTCCATACCTCCATCAGCCTGAGGGGGGCTAACATACAGAGGTGTAAAGTACATTTACTCTCAAGTATTGTTCTTAAGTACAATATTGACATACTTGTACTTTACTTGAGTATTTCCATTTTAAGCTACTTTGTACTTATACTCCACTACAATTCAGAGGTATATCGTGTACTTTTACTCCACTACATGTATTTAATACCTTTAGTTACTTTACAGATGTGGATGAATGGTGTGAAATATAATCAAATGTTGAATCAGACTTTAGTATGGAGTAAACTCACAAGCTACCCTGCAGTATACAAAGTCATTCAAACTAGCTGCACCTTTACCAGCTTTGAGAACACTTTAATGATCAATCATTATAAAACATTTAAGAAATATAAAAAAAAACTATACAATTATTAAAAAATGAAATCACATTTGATCAAAGCAGATTGCAAAACAGTTATTTGTAAATAATAAAAGAAATAATAATAAATAAAAATGTAGCACTAATATTGCAAAACAAAGTTTGGTCTTTAAGATTTCGGATAAAATATTATTTATTTCAGAATATGAACAAGTGTTGCCGAATTCAGACGATAAATAAATGTTTATGCTTGTAAAGACAGGGTGACATACCTACGTCTCCCTGGAATACTGAGTGACAGTCTGATAGTGACCCGGCAGTCTGCGGGACAGTGGCTTCAGACGATAAACACAGCGCTGAAGCTCGAGCTGCGAACTGAGCCACTTGCTGGCAGCAGCATTTGCAACAGGCGGAGTGTGTTGTGTGTTTCCTCTGGAAATACACACACACCAAAACACTCACCAGATTTCTTCCTCACTTTCCCTCATCCGAGTAAAAATATACTAGCTTAGCCTAATCATTAGGACACATGAACCTCCTTCATCCATCTGCTGGCTGCTATGAGAGGGACAGCCAGCTAACAAGCCTCTGAAGGCCTTCCTCTCAGGATTGTTTCCTGGAAACATTCATTATGTTACGTGACATGTGTTTGCTGAATATTTGGAGATCATTGGAAAGTTAAGAATCTCCTCTTTCCAACAGTGTATATAACAAAAATATGTTTTGGGTTCGATGTGCCTGATTTTGATAGAGCAGGTCACAATTACAAAGCATGAATCAAGCTGATGAATTTCTCTTAACTTTATTCTTGATGAATTGACCAATAGTTGCAGCTCCTAACACGGTTTAGTATTTTGATGTCCTGAGCACAGACCCCCTGATGATTTCACACTGACCCCCTCCCTGTGATTGGTTTAGCCCCGGCCCGTGTGAGCGACTCGATGCTGGCGGAGACGATGATCGGCAAAGCGGTGGAGCACATGTTTGAGACGGAGGACGGGCCGAAGGAGGAGTGGAGGGGGATGGTGCTGGCCCGCGCTCCCATCATGACCGCCTGGTTCTACATCACCTACGAGAAGGACCCCGTGCTCTACATGTACCAGCTGCTGGACGACTACAAGGAGGGAGACCTGCGCATCATGCCCGACTCCAGTGAGTGGAAGCTGGTTCTACTGGACCAGTGGTCAGCCCTTCAGCTTCATAACTTCACTGAGTAGTAGTCTAGTTACCAGCATAGTGCACCACGGAAATGAGGATACCCCAAAGTTTGATGTTAGGAATGTATAGTACGGGTCCCCAGAGAAACTGCTGGAAGCGAACTTGCATGTGTTGGGCGATTTGCTAAATTAGCATAAGTTGCGTTAATTAGCATTAGTGGCATTATAGCTTTTGTGGACAATAGTCAAATAAAAATAGTTTGGACAGTTTTTGGGTGGTTTTGGTGGTTATTGAGTCCATTTCTGACCTTTTCCAAGATAAATTGCAGTATTAACCAGAAAAGTTGCCATATTTTTACTTTTTGTTTTGTTGCGACCATTGGATATAGAGAGCGCAAGATGAAAATTATTATCTCTACTGGGACAATTATTTTTCTAATAAATAAACAATCTGTCCAGTCAAGTTAAAATCTAAATTATTCAAAACCAGCCCCCGGGGACTACAAATATGGCAATCTTCTGGTTAAAACCGCCATTTTTGAAGCTGAACATTTCAGAAATGGACTCAGTATCTGCAATACCCTCAAAACCACTCCAACATTGTCCAAATCAGCAAAGTCTTTTTTTTAGCTATTGTCCACATAAGCTATAATGCTAATTAGCGCAAAATGTGCTTAATGTGTAAATGGCCCAACATATGCAAGTTAGCATCCGGCAGTTTTTATGTGCTGGGGACCCGTAATATACATTTCTAACATAAAACTTTGGGCTACTCAACATTTCCGGTTTCAGCAACAGCTTTGATGGGACTTACACTTGGCCAACCGCAGACATGCAAACATAGAGCGAAACCACGTTACACACTAACCACTTTATGGTAATTATGTTTTGTTCAGCAGGATAATCAGTGGTGTAGTGGGGATTTTTTTACTGGGGGGACGCTATTTTAATTAGGTCATCCCAAACAATGCCACACAAGTGCCCACGCGCGCAGTGCACTCACAAAACGGGCAGACAGGTCCACAGAAACTACCGGTATGCTTAGTCCTACTTTAGTTACTGTACTGCAAAAAGCAGATGTCGCTGCGCTCAACACACACAGACTCAAAACCATGGACACACTGGCACATAAGTTACATAAACAATTTATAGGCCTAAGTTTCATAAGCTACAGTATTGCAATTAAGCAGACAGCGCTGCTTCTCTCTCTCTCTCTCCATCTCCACTTTCAAAATCTATTTAAAACTCATAACAAACAAACACAATTTCCAAAGTTGTCCTGAAATTAACTTATTAATTAAACGAAACGAAAAATATAGCCTACTTATGCAAACAACATTGAATCTGGACTTGAAATGATTCTGATTAGGCCTAGCCTACATTGCAAATAAGCAGACAGCGCTGCTTCACACACACAGACACACATACACACGTGTACAATCACACACACACTATAAAGAAACAGTGTTACTCACAGTAGTTGAAGTCAGTCAGAGGAAACGCCACAGTGGGTCTGGATCCTTGCGAGATTCGGCTGTAGCCTGTCGTGATCTCTTGTCTTCAGCTGAGCGATGCCGTCGCAGCAAAGTTGTCACATATCCTGTCGGATCCCACTGGGTTAGAGGTGGACCATGTAGCTTGATGAACATCAAGGTGGATACCCGTTCAATCAGCAACCTGTTTCACGTTGGGGTGAAGATCAGATTCATCTAGCTGAATCCCCTTTCACATTCTGCCGTGCTGCATGGTATGAGTTTAGTGCAGTTCATCAAGGGCCTGAGCTCGGCAGGTGTAGCATCGTCCACAGTGCTCTCGACAAAGTCTCGGAATGCATTTATTACGCTTACAGTCGGCAGCCTGAATCGTTGGCACAGTTCACTCACTTGCACCTCTCCATAGCCCAGGCGCCATGGGTCTGAGGCTGGTGGCCAGTTGTGCGGTTCCCAGGGGACTTTTTAGGATT